TAGAGGTGGGGGGTTTCTGTTAGTGAAGGACCACATTCCCCCAATCATCGCAGGCAGGTGCATGGAAGCATCCTCTCATTGACATACATGCATCAGTACTGCAGACTAAGTTGGCCTAGCTATGTCGGTAAGAGGTGTGGGTTTTTGTTTTTGTTTGGTTTTTTCACCACTGCTGATGCTCCTTTCTTGACCTAATATTTAAATGTAAACTCAGCCCAGGACTCTCTTGTGCATTGGCAGCTCAAGGTGCCATCATACATCATCTTCCGAGTAGTGTGAACAAGCTTCACTTTTTATAGCTTGATTATTTAGGACTGCAGTGGAATAAATATATTGCCTCTTAGTTTGAGTTGCTGAGCTTCTTCATGTTGATTACCACTGCAAATTTACAAAAGCTTTTGTGGGTTCTGTTGTTTGAAGGCTGAAAGTACAACACATCTGTATCTCAAATGCCTGCATGAAATATTAAAGGAAAGTGAGTGAAAAGTCAAGACATTACCTCACCCTGCTTAAATTCTACATTTAGCCTATTCCTTTCCTATAGCTTACAAACAACTTCCTGAAAATAAGCCTTCTTTCAAAAGAAATTTAAAAATAAGAGACTTTTAATTAATAAAATGATCAGAACTGTTTGTTGGTAACATTAAGTTGCATAGATAAAGATGCAATTGTAATGATAAAGTTGTTTTACCTTTGTTATATTTCTTTGTTGTAGAGATGTTGTAGGTATCTTAATCACAAATCTCCCTTATTCCCTCTATTCAATAAAGTGTCATTTTTGAATATTGGAAGTATTAAATTTTAAAAAGTGATCTTTTAAAATAGATTTTTTGTTCAATAGACTCAAAACATTCAAATCCCGTTTCATTGAGCACTTAAGGCATTGTAGTCTTTATCAGGATTGACAAGTGTTCTAGCTATAATACACATATGCAGAGGCTGTAAGAAGTTTAATATTGTATAGAAAAGGATAACTCCAAAAACCTAAATCTACTGTCTTGTTTCTATGGTAACAATATTGAAATGTCTAGCCAACACTGATTTTCCTGTAATTTCTGTCTCAGGGTTCTAGGAATTCATTAAAACTATAGAATCCCTTTAAAACTGTATATTCTGTTGTAAAAATTCCCTAGGTTAATGTTAAGCATAACTTCACATTTTAACATAATTTTTGTGTGTAACAGACTTTCTAGCAAGTAAGGAATTAGAGGAGTTACTTTTTGTATTTCTAAAAGAGAGGATGCTCATTGATCTGGTATTTTAGGTTTCTCTCTGGCAACTTGGCTTATTTGCATGACTGACTAGAAAATGGGGATTTAGCATGTGGATTATGCTGAAATATTAGTCATTGAAAAGGCCTGTCCAGGAGAAAATCATGGTTTGCGCTTTTCCTATGGAAAATAATCTATCCATCAGGAACTGCTGTTTGCTGTCATGTTCAAGTTAGAGATGTAAGCAACTGATGGACTAGTCAGCTATCTGATAAGCAAAAGCATATAGGATAGTTGACACACTAGTCACTCTTCCCCCCCCCCCCCCTTTGCCGCCTCTATCACAAAGAGGCAGCATGAGTGGGAGAGAAGAGGGCATGCTGGGGGGAGCCGGATTAAAAGCTGTTTTCCCTCCTCCCCCCAGCTCCAGCTCCGTGGAAGGGGGAAGGGGCACAGCAGCACCAGTTCCAAATTTGAAATGCACAAGAGTCCCCACTGGAGCTCTAGTACATTTCAAAGCAGAAGCGCCACATGGAGCCTGGGGCAAGTGGGAGTCCTCCCAGGCTCCATGCCCAGCGTCTGCTTTGAAATGTACAAGAGCCCCAGCAGAGACTCTTGTACATTTCAAAGTTGGAATGCTGCCTGGAGCCCAGGGCCAGTGGGGAGTCCTCTACTGACTCCAAGGTCCATGCAATGCTTCTACTTTGAAATGCACAGGAGCCCGCTGTGCATTAGACCTTATCCATTAATTGAATAGTCTATGGAAATCCCATCAACTATTCGATTAGTTAATTATTTGAAATTTAACATCCATAGTTCAAGTTATGCATCCTTGAGACAGCCTCTGGTAATTGGGAATCCATTCTCTTAAAAAAAAAAAAAAAAAAAAAAGGTGGGGGAGGAGGTGGTTTCCTATATTTTAAAACAGTGACTTACTTGGATTTTATGCTTCAGTTTGTTAACCTCAAGACTAATGAGGAATATTTTCGGCACTTGACTTAAGGAGTTTCATATGTCCCTTCTAGCAGTTATTTTTCTTTTGAGGTCAGTGCTGCAGAGTTGAGAACAAGGTCGAAGTCTTGATTGAGCTTCCATTCCCCTTCTGGGGGGATTCAGACTAGTCTGCAAGTGAGAAGATCTTTAAGATCCTGAACTAAACATTAAATTGATGCAAGGTCCCTACAGAAGAGATCGGGGACAACTGGAAGCAGTGGGAAGCCCAAAGTGCTTCTTGCTGTGATGTATTCTGTTTCCTATTATAATGGTGGAATGATAATGAGGACAGAGGACAAATGAGTGAGATCTCTTCTGCTCAGTTTCTCTCCTAAATATTTGTCCATTTTTGTTGACTCTCTAAAGTTTTCTGGTATCTAACATCTTTTCCTGAAGACAGTTATAAGTGAGGACATTGGAACTCTGACAGCCAGTTGAAGCTTCAGATTCCTTCAGTCGGACACAAAAGGTGAAAGAAGGGTTGCTAGTGGAGTTGAGTGTTTCACTGAGTCATCAGAAAGAAAAATCATTCCCTTGCATCATTACAGAACAGTTAGGGAAGAAAATGAAAAATTTAATCCATGGAGGAGATCTCTTTAATCCCATCAAGAAAGACAGTGTAGGAACAACTGTTTCTTTTAAAACATGAAATTGTTCATCTAACAATGTCCCATTTACTGTTGTAATACAATTAACCTATGGTACCTATTGCCACAAAAGCTCCAAGGAATTCAAGATGTGATTAGATTTTTCTATAGATGATATGACCATCCACATTTCAGGACATAACCAACCAGAAGATGCCTGGACTCGTCTGGAACTGGTGTGGATCGTAAACATCCATTTTGACTTTACTTTTCATTTTACAGCTTCACTTATTAGTAACAGTGCTTGATAAATTCTGGCATTCCCATATGGTTGTGTGCAGCCTGACATGACATAAATCATATTTTGATTTACTGATGCATTACAAAAATACTACATTAGTGGATCTTTATGAATTACTACCTAAAACCTTAACAAATTAGAAGATCCAGAGAAGTGCATGTAAGAGTTAAGAACACACGGGTGTTTATATTAGAAGCTAAAACTAGAGTTTGAGCCACAATTGCTATCCTTAACTTGCTTTTGTATTTGAATGGACATTACAAGAATTTTTCTTGTGAGGAGCTACTTTTTAAAGGAAAACCAAACAACCAAACAAAAACCTAGGGAGCATCACTCTTAATGGTGAGCATCCCTGCAGGCGGAGGCCTGGGAACCTGCAGCCAACACAGGGTCAAAAGCAGCTGGGCTGGAGCAACCTCTGTCCGCAGTGCAGGCGCTCCCCCAGTCTGTCCATCCCCGTTTAACCAGTTAACTATTAAATGGGATTTTATGTTCCTTTAAAAAAAATCAGTGTAAGCCCAGGCCAGCATGCCTAGAAAAGCCACTTTTGATAAAGAAACCTATTTTAGATCCCTAAAGGAGGTATCAACTTTTTCTGGAATTATAATTGGAAAAATGTTATTGATCTAATGAGATAAGAAAGGCCATGCTGGCTTGGATCAATGGTGTCCTGTCTTCTGGCAGTGACCAGTGCCAGATGCTTCTGAGGGAACAAACAAAATAGACCAATTTCAAGTGATCCATCACAGTAGTTGTGTTGTAGCCTATAGTTCTAGAATATATGTTTTTGTATTATAATGCAGAGACTCCCAACCCCAATGTCAGTGGGAAAGTCTTTTCACACACCCATACTAAATAAAAACCATCCAGCTTGGTATTTAGGACCCTCTGGGACAGAGGTCAGAAAGATCACTCCTGCTGCTGCTGCTAGCTTACCTTGTTGAAGCTTCTTACCTGTCACAATATACTCAGTTGAATGAGAAGGTGCTGCTTAAGAATAGTGTGGACTCAGATGCATGGATCATCAGATAGCTCAGAGCACTTAGCCAGCTTTACACTGTCTTTAAGATGTACCTTCCCCAATAGCGTGTGTGGGCAGGAATGGATGGAGAGGGAAGTGAGTGGTGATAGTATTTACACCCATCCTGCAAAACTCCCTTTCCCTGGAACTCACTTGGTAGCATGAGAGTCCAGCAGCATTTTATTAGATTTTTTTTTTTTGTGAATCTAAAGAAAACACAGAATATGCAAAATAGAAATGTTTTGCCATAAAGGATTGGCTATGGAAAAAACACAGCATTGGGGAGCCTGTGCAAGCACTCCAGCCCCTCCACTGCCCTACTACAGGGCTGGAGCACACAAAATCTACTAGCCTGGGCCCCTGTAGGCTCTAGTGTGTGAGGGGACTATGTGGAGTTTCTTTCTCCTTCTCAGTTGGGACCAAGATCAGTGAGGGTTTGTGTTTTTGTGTTTTTGTTTTTGCTTCTCACTTGTGTATGCACCCCCCTGACTGATTTTTTTTCTGTGGGTCAGCGGCCCCCAACCCAAAAAAGTTTCCCTGCCCCAATCTAATTCAACATCAACCACTTTTTTATTTTGAGCAGTCAGCAAAAAGAAGTCTCTTTTCAAACAGAAGGACTAGCAACAACTCTATTAGTTTCTCCTCTTCTGTGCTATATTGAACACTTCCACCCTTCTTGTTGTGAACCATTTTATGTAGATATTTCCTAATTTTTCCCATGACATTTTAGCCTATTTCTTCAGACGATTGTATGGACTGAAAGAAACTATTGTTTCTGCAAGAGTACAAGCATGTGCACATTTGCTAATCTGGCTGGTACAGGATTTCAAGAGTGGGTGGTGTTCAGTTGAGAAACAGAGTTTGAATGTGTGTAAAAAGGGTTCATGTTGACAACATGCACTTTTATTTTGTACACAATAGCATTTCACTCTTTCAAGGCAGAAAGATTCTTTACACATTTTTTTCATCAAATGTTGAAGTCTAGTATCATGAGACATAAAGAAGGAAATGCAGTCAGAGTGGACGTATAAAAACTTGAAATAGTTTAGGCTTGAGGGGTTTGAGTCCAGATTCTAGCTAGATTAAGCTATTTGTCTCATGTTTGAAGACTTATCTAGTGCTATTCTTCACAAATAACTTCAGGGTTTTAAGCACTTATTTGCATCTTCTAGATTGGTATCTTTAAATAGAAGATGAGCTGAACAAGTTAGTATTTTGTATAGCATTGTGAGAAAATACCTTGTATATGACAATGTACTTGCAAACTCCTGAGTAACTGGAAACTATTTACAATACAGTTGGTTTTTTAACAAAGTATTTACATACAAGGATCATACAACAGTTTATAATCAGATAGTATTGTCAAGCAGCAGAGAAATTGTCAACATCATTGGTAAAAGCCAGTAGAAGGGGATTTGGGCCTTTTGTAGGAAAAGAGGAGGGCAAAGTGCCAGCCACCCTCAAATTGTAGTAAGTCATTTCTTTGGAAGCCACTGTTTGATGTTAATGACTTTGCCAATTATAGTGTTTCCCATTTGAGAAATTTTGTCTACTTCATGTCAAGGCAACTTCATCCATATTCCTCTGACTGCCTAGAGTCCATCATTTTTGTTTTCTGGGGCTGTGGGGGATGAAAACGGTAATAGCGTCATTGTGTCCTACAAACGTGTGTCTATAATGATGCTTAAATATGTCAGCAGCCTTTTAATATATTGCCCATCAGTGTCTGCTGACAGGTCTGTCGTATCTGGCAGGGTAAAGTAGGTGGCTGTTCATTACCTTCTTATGGTGGTGTTCAGCAACTCTTCATCCCGCTTCAGGGGCTTCATTTATATGCTGTTGCTGCATCTCCTCATCTATGTGAGGCAGAGGAATTTTAGGTTGCAGTGACATCAGTCTGCTAATAAGTCAGCTCGGTCACCTTTTTAATGCAGTTTCCTTGTTTGTTTGAGATAGGGACTTAGCTGAGAGGCATCTTCTGTAGCTGACAACATTAAGGAAGATTGAGGTGATGCTTGTTGCTGGAGCTGTGGCAACGCACAGAGCCTTCTCCCTTCCCCCACCAGTTTAATTTGATGGGGATTCTGACAGGGCTTTTTATTGATCAGTTATGTCCACCTATTACCAAAGAAGTTTGAATTCCAGGGATACCTTAGCAGCACAGTAATTTCCTGGTGACGATGAAAACATGTTCAATTTACTTTTATTTTTAACATATGTGCCTCGCTAAGAACTTGCAGTCTTTGTGACTAGGCATGTTGTGTCTTGAGAAAACTCTGAGGAGGTCCAGGCTGGCCTGATATCTTTCCCAGTATGTTAAGGGCAATTTATAAAGAGGACAGTGATCAATTGTTCTCCATGCCCACTTAAAGTGGGATAATAAATAATGAGATTAATCTACAGCCAATGAAATTTAGGTTAAATATTAGGAAAAACTTTCCAACTATAAGGGTATGTCTAGACTACATGGCTCCGTCGACAGAGCCATGTAGTTTAGGTTTCTAGACATAGGAAAATGAAGCAGCGATTTAAATAATCGCCGCTTCATTTACATCAAAATGGCTGCCGTGCTGTGCCGATCAGCTGTTTGGTGGCACAGCGTGGTAATCTGGATGCTCTGCTGTCAACAAGGGAAGCTCTTGCCGACCACCCTGTTATACCTCATCAACAGAGCCATGTAGTCTAGACATACCTTTAGGGTAGTTGGAATAGGTTACCAAGGAAGGTTTTGGAATCAACATCAATGGAGGTTTTTAGTACTAGTTTAACCTGTCTGGAATGGTCTAGGTTTATATGGTCCTTTGACAGTGCAGGGGACTGGACTTAGTAACTTCTTGAGGTCCCTTCAGCCCTACATTTCTCTTTTCTTTGTCTTCCCTCCCTTTTCCCCCTCCTCACCTAGCTCCTCTTGTTCAGCCAGTCCCAGTGTCCTTCTCACCCCATCCCCAGTTCCTCCTGTGATCTTGGTGCACACCCAGTCAAATACCTCCCACTCTCCATTTGCACTACCACTTCCCTGATTTTCATGAGGACAGCAAAAGGTATTTCCATAATAGAAAGGGAACCCTTGCCTAATTGAAAGTGTATGCTCAAAAATATGTGGGGACTTGAACTTTTACAACAAAACACTAAAATTTCACATGGGCAAAATGGTTTTTTTGGTCTAACCTTGTTTTGAGAAACAATTGAACCAACATGGCTGACATTTTCCAACAAAATTCAGTTTGACACAGATACCCAGGATCGGAAATTTCAGCCCAAATGGTTAAACTTTGTCAAAGTTGTAAGCAACTAAAAGTGTTGTCTTCATAATGGGAAATGTTGGGCAACCTTGACTCTAGGAGGCATTACCTGTTCCACTGTTAATATGGTGATGTGTTTCAGACCTTGGTGGAGTCATGATCCATGGGCTCACATAAATCATTGGGTAATATTGCATGCTTAAGGAAGTGTTGTGTCTTTTTTTAAAAAGCACCCAGAATAACTAGGTTAATGGCATTTCCAGTAGGGACGTGAAGGTTTAGCAGGTAATCCTCACATGTAACAGGTGAGGCTTATGGGTGTGGCTGGAGCATCTCCCCATCTGCTGGGCAGGGTGCAAGACTGGGGCTGCTCTGGCTGGGCTGGGAACCCTGCCTGTGATGGTGGGGGTATGTCAGGCCCCTGCTACCCACTCGCCCCCGCTTTAATTGGTTAACTGGTAAATAATAAGTTAAACTGGTTAGCCAATTAAATGGGATTTTACATCGCTAATTTTCAGGATTTTAACCACAAAATAGCTTTTTAATTTAAGATCCTTGCAGCCTGGCCCAATTTTTATTTGATTATATAACACCTTCAGTTGGGTGTTTATTCTACAAGTCGGCTCTCCCACCCAAGACAGGATGATTTATGTGCATTATATGTTGTTGGTTTTTTGCCTATCAGTGGGAGAATTTGATGCCTAAAAGTAGAGCTAATAAATTCTAGAATGGTAAGCAATTGACTGTGGACCAATCACTGTAACCAGTGTCCAAGTCACTTGTACAAATGTGGCCTTGGACAAGTCACTTTTGGTTCTCCTTCTACATTGTAGGTCTTGTCTTTTTGATTTGTGAGCTATTTGTGGCAAAGACTTTCTTGCTGTTACTTATGTCTTTCTTAGAGAACAGGAGCACCAGTTTATCTGGAACTCCCGAACATCACTGTAATACAAATAATAAATAATAATCCTTTATAGTTAATCAGTTTTCTATTTTGTTGATATTGGCTTTTACCCAATGTAATGGGGAGAAAAACATTTTTTTAAATAGGAAAAATGTGATTGCAAACCACCAGTACTGGGAAGACAGTTCAGTGGATTCAAGTAGTACCTGGCATTACCTTTAACTCCTATTAAACTATATCAAGTCAAATATTTAAACAGGGTGGCCCATTGTCAGGGATTGAATAGCACATTAAGGTGACATGGAATAACAAGATACATGGTTGGACGTTTAAACAAGATGGTTTTGAACTAGAAATTAGTTGCAGACTGTAACCAGTGAGGGTAATTAACCATTTGAACAACTTACCAAGGGCCATAATAAGTTCTGTATCACTGGGAATTTTTAAATCTAGATAAGTCTAGTTAGGCCACAGCTATTGGACTTGGAGCAAAAATTAATTTGGGGAAGATTGTATTATGCAGGAGGCTGGTCTAGACTCTAGATGAGCACAATGAGTTGTTCTGGCCTGAAAAATCTATAACAATTATATTGCATGTCCATTACATCACACACACCATTACCACCACCACCAGTATTGGTGGTCAGGCAAGAAGCTATTCTTTTTCCATTCCTCTTTATTCATTTCATAACTTCTGATAATCTTCTTAAGTGTTCCGGTTCAGCTCAAAGGCAAGACTATCATCCGTGAATCCTTGTTTTTCCTGAATGCCTTATGAAGGGTGGGGTTTTAGTTTATCTTATGATGTGAGCAAACAGTCTGAGGTTTTTGTGTTTAAAATATTTTAAGAAACCTAAAATGGGATTAAGAACATTTAAATACACCAGGAGGATATTTGCTACATTGTGTCATAAATAACTAATTTAGATCCTCTCTTAGGCTGCGTCTAGACTGGCATGATTTTCCGCAATTGCTTTTAATGGAAAAAGTTTTCTGTTAAAAGCATTTGCGGAAAAGAGCGTCTAGATTGGCACAGATGCTTTTGCGCAAAAGCACTTTTTGCAGAAAAGCGTCCATGCCAATCTAGACGCGGTTTTCTCCATCGGGGCTTTTTTGCCCCAAACATTTTTTACCTGTCTACACTGGCCCTCTTGCGCAAAAGCATTTGCGCAGGAGGGCTTATCCCTGAGCGGGAGCATTATAGTATTTGTGCAAGATCACTGACAATCTTACATTAGATTGTCAGTGTTCTTGCGCAAATTCAAGTGGCCAGTGTAGACAGCTGGCAAGTTTTTCCGCAAAAGCAGGCGCTTTTTGCGGAAAAACTTGCCAGTCTAGACGCAGCCTTAGTGTTTTTCTACATAGTGTGGTATGCCTATGTGGGGGTGTTGCATAGTAATTGATCCATATAGACCCTGATAGAGTGCACTTAATGTTCCCTGGTAGTTCACAGCCATATCTTTAAGTTCACTATGGAATATCTAATGAACAGCAGCAGGATCTACAGAGACCTATTAATGTGCAACACAGTGTGCTTTAGAAAACCCATCCCCGCCATGTGTATTATCTCACCGTGTAGACAAGCTGGAATACTTAAGCCTAAAATTTATACATCGTGCATTCACCCTATAAGTTTTAAAATGACTGCAGATACTATATCCCCACAGTAGGAGTTTGCATTACTAACTGTGGAGTTCGTAACTGTGGCCCTGATCCTGCAACTGGGTCATTGTGGGCAAACACATGTATTTGCAGGCAGCCCCAGTGAAGTTGCGGGGGTTCCTCATGAGGATCATCTCATTGCTGACTGGGGCCTGTAGTAGGCCTTCTGCACTTCATTCTCTTAAATTTAGGGGACACTTAGAAAAGTTGTGCCTCTGTTTTAATAAGCAAGTCAGTGCAAGTTGAAGATGATCATTATTAGCAGTAATGTAATATTCAGAGGAAGACCGCTTAAATCAAGCCATTCTGAACTAGTAATTCCTATACATTTCCTTTCTGTTAGCGTCTGGCCATTCTGTCTTGGCGGGTGAGGCGGGAGATGGCATAGTCACAGCTTTACACTTTTAGATTCATGACAGAACACTGACATTTGAAAACACCAGAGTTGGTGTGAACTGTTCTGCTTCACTGCGAAATATGAGAGCTATTGCCTTTCTTTAATATAAAACTGCTTATTCTAGCAATAGAGTTGTTCCATATATCTTGGTAGAAAAGCTCATTCTGTTAAAAAGAAATCCATTTCCTAGAAATATGAATGTGTGGTATGTTTATAGTCCCTATGCATACACACTTGTAAGAATAGTGCCCCCACCTTCCTTTTTGGTAGCACCGGTAACTAGAATAAACACTCTACACCTGATTCACTGCAGTGTGTAAATTTTCTTATAATGAAGCAAGGATGGCATTTGCTGCATTTCCTATTGCTTGCATCAGTGAATATTTTATATTATGTCATGATTAATCCTAAATCAGACAACCTGGGGGAAAAAATTATTGTTGATCTCCCATAGGCCACTTTAGAAACAGAGCAGGATAAAAATGCTTTAGAATGTAAATGCTAGTTAAAATTCACAAGATCATAAAACAGACGTAAGGTACAAGCCTTTTAAAACAATGTAATGAAATACAATAAAAGCCTTTTTATCATTTTTAAAGGAAGCTTATTTAGTAATCACCAAGTTTCCATCTTCTCCAAAAATCTTTCCTCTCTCCTTAACTTTTTTAAAAGTTCCTTTGTGTTGTGAAAAATAGATGGGCCTACGAAGCTATCTTTGGAGACAGGGCATATATTTACCATATTTCTGCTGCTGAATTCATTATTGAAAATGTACTGCTGTGTAGTAATGAAGCGGATGTAATCCAGATTGAATGTAGAGGGATAGGAACTAGAGGGGAGAATTAAAAGCACAGTTCCCAGAAAGTGTAGCACGTGTGAAGGGTGATAAAACTACTCCTGGATCTGTGAAGAATGCTTCTATTTTTAACATGATGTATCAGCTGTTGTAATTTCCAGTTTTGTGTGTGCGCACACGTATGTGAGCCATCATTGTGTACAACTGGAATGTCACTTCTGGCCTTGTTTACAGTATAGCAGTACATTCCTGAGTAATTATAGTAAAGGCCTTGGTGGCATTATTTGAGGAAAAGTTTGCTTTGAAAGTGGTGAATGAGAAGGAAGGCTTGCTGGGAGGAATCTGAGAGAGACAGAAAGAAACATGCAGTTCCAGAGGGAAATACTCTATGCTTTACAGTTGCTTGTGTGGATAGGAACCAGATGGTAAGCTGGAACACCCGGTCGGATAGCTGAGGAGCCAAACATATGGTTAATGGTTAGGAGAAATAGCTTTCAGAGCCAGGGCTTTGCTGACTGCTTCACATTACAGATTGTTACAGTGTGTCATTACATTGCCAAGCTAAGTGCTTAATACCCACTGCGGGCTCTGGGCATACATTTACACAAACGACTTTTAGCTATTTGCTGGCATAGACTGAAAAGTTGACATCATATCTAGTTTTAAAATGTCTTTCTCTCCTCTCCCTGCAGTGCAAATGCACGATCTTTTGCATTTTATAAGATAGGAGCTTACATCAGTCAGCTTTCTTGTTCTCCGTCTGTCTGCTTTAATCTGTTTGTTTTCAACAACTTTTTTTAAACAACCAAGTTTGCTTGAATTGCAGCATTGCACTTACATGCCCAGCATTTGAAGTTTCTGTTGTGGGAGCTTTGGGCAACACCAAGCCTATGTTATCTAAGGAACTGCTGAGCTCATTCATCTGCTTTTCATGGCCTGCTTCCTTTTATTTTTAGCCAAATCCGTCAGGCCTGACAGGCGGGTAATTTGATCCAGAGAAAGGGCAAAGCTCCAGGTCCTTTCCACAAAGCAATTCTTCTCCTCCCTCCTGGGAAGGCTCCAAACTTGGCCTGCTCCAGGCAGATGGATTTGTTGAGTCATGTGAGATCATTTACACAAAAACACAGTGAGGCAGTGAAGAAAAAAAAAAGGAGGGGGTGGCGGGAGAGAGGAGGAGAAAGGGGTGGGAGACAGTGTTGCCGTTGATTCTGATGGGGAGTGTAGGAAATCGGCTGTGAGGCAGCTAGACAGAGGAATGCAGCAGATTCATTCTTGTATAAGGTAATGTCTAGTTTACAGTACAGGGCGGAGCCAGTGTAGAGAATGACTTGAAAACATTATTCATTAAGAAAATCTTAAAATCTCGCACATGCACAAAACGAAGGGTGCACTGTTGTCAGCACAGGATTACAGTAGCAGTAAACTACTAACTGGAAGGTTTATAGAAAATGAGTTGGCTCTCTGATGCAATATGAGTTTGCTTTGTCTTCATGCCAGCATGACCGGGGTTGCCAGGGATGGGGAACAGGGAGAATTGGAATATTACTCATGGTTAATTCTTTCCAGAGATTATTTAATAGGACCATGGAGGGAGGGGGATATGCACAATTGTAAGTAAGCGTACTGTACTAAACACTGTTAGCTATAGCAAAGCATTTGTTTCATTTTTAAATCAGTCATGGCATGATCTTCATTATACCAGAAAATAGACTACACTTATTCAGTTGAGTTGGTTTGTTACCCAGAGCAACCAAAATGCTCCCTTGTGCTATTTAAAAAAAAAAAAAAAAAGAGGATTTGGGAATGTGTCAAATTTACAGCATTTTATATTTTAGTGGTAAATAATGAAAAATTAGGTTGATTAATATATAGATGAACAAACTTGTTTATGTAAGGTTTTAAATAGACTACCTTTACAAGATTATGTTTATCTTGCACTTCCTAAAAAACCCCGAAGTAGTAACTTTGCTATTATGCCAGACTTTCTTAATAGTAGAATATTGCAGGAATTATATATTTTGGTAATATAACTGTATCAGAGACCGTAGCGTGGGATGGCAAGTGCGTATTTTAACAACCCTAATTCTTTCCCTCTTTGTGTTCATCCTAAACTACTGCAGGATTTTGTGGCGGGAGGGGAGTTCTGGTCATGGTATATTGTTCAATGTCCTATTCTCAGCTCTGACATAAAAGCCTTTTTTTGTGCAGGAAGTGTTCTGTTCTCTCTAAGAGGCCTTTGCCCATTTATAAAATAGAGGTAATATGTCCCCTCCCCTTAGACTTTGGTTTTGTTGTGGGGTTATTTATTTGTATTGTGCATAGGACTCCTAGTCATGGAGCAGGATGCCATTGTGCCATATCCAACTGAAATTCAATAAGATTTGAACATCTACTTCCCTTAAGTGCTGTTGGAAATATCAGTATCACTCCTGATAAGGGAAGTTAATGCTCTAAATCTACTATATATTGACAGGAGAAAAATCTCAGTGTGTTTCCTGTACCCATAAAACATTTCCCAGTTTAAAAAAAAAAAAAAAAAAAATGCTTGTTTCACTGCTTTGAAAATGAAGAGCTGATCTCTTCTCACTATTTGCTCTTTTGCTTTGGACAGCTATCCAGCCTAGACATGTCTCAGGAGATCTGCCTTTGGTGTTGGGAACAGCTTCCCTCTCCCCCCTCGTCCCCTTTGATCTGTTCTCCTTCTTTCTTTCCTCTTACTTTTGTTGCTGCTTACCTTCCTTCGGAAAACTTCCCTGTGAGGTGTGCTGATGAGCAGGCTAATTTTCAGCTCACATCCACTCTTCAAGACCCACTATGTCTTGTTCTATGCTCCTGTTTCAGACCAGCAGTTTTTCTGACACTGCCTTCTTCCATACGTTTCTTCACAATGGCACTGCTTCCTTCTGAAATTGAGGAGTCTGGAATGAGAATATTCAAGTGCTTCCATGTTTTGTGACATGTTTCTGTATTTCTGTCTATGCAACGTGTAAGGTAGAGGAAGGATTTTTTTTTTAAGTAATTTTTCTTCATTGCTGTCATGAGCAATTTTCTCTTCTGGATGTTGGGTTACTAACAGATTTTAAAAGTATTTTCTTTGACAGGTGTTTTTCAGGTTTTAAAAAATGCCATGATATATTGGCTGCACTCGTGCACGCTCTCTCTCACACACACACACTCTCTCTGTTTGCCACCAGTGCAGGGAGCAACATTTACTTCTAACCTATGGCATCAGCAGGCTGTTAGCTGCCAGTCACAGCAATATACCACTTCCTTTCCTCATTTTTGCTTCTACACAACAGTTCTAAATTGTGTTCTTGCTCTGTCTCTGGTGATCTGGCAGTTTGTGCATTTTGTCACCAGAGTAATTGAAGAATATAGGCCTCTAAGGCCAAGAACTGATTGCAAGAACTCTGAAGGCATACATGGGACACTCTACTGTATCACAACAGGGCCAATGTATAATTGGCAAATGAGATGTCTTCTGGCTATTAGTCAGGTCAAAAGATGGATCTATGGAGCTCTGCACTGGGGATGTAAAAGTTAAGCCAGAAACCGATAAGCTGATGCTGATAGGTTCCAGTTACCAGTTAAACTCCCTCGGGGATGGCAGCCTGCGGCGCTGCCGGCCAGCAGTGTTTAACTGTGTAACCAATTGAATTGTAATCGGTTACACAGTTAGTACTTTTTATCCTTTTACAGCCCTACTCTGCACCCAGACAGATCAATCAGGCGACGGAATTTAGGTTTAAGAATGTCCTGGCTTACCTATATTTCTTCATAATGAACTGCAATCCTGAAAGGGATTTCTAGAGTGCACACTTCCTAGATTCAGTAAGGCTATGGTGTTCATTTTTATGGAGGCTTTTTTGTTGCTGTGCTTTAGGTGGAGAGGTCTTCAGTTCTTCACAAAAATCTAGGAGACCTTTCAGATGCAAAAGTTGCAGATCCAAAGAATGTTCTCTTATGAGTCAGATTACCTGGTTCATTTACTCGGTGCTCATCATTTGTGAAGTCATGCTAGAAGAGCCTAGCTATTCTATCCAGCAGATACGTGCACAGACTTTATACTGTAACTCCTTTTGGGGAGATCAGAAGTTGGGAAGTGATTCCCAAAGTGGGCTTGGCAATAATTTCATACAAATGCTCATTTGTACTGTTAACAAGCACAGTTTCCTTAGACAGAAAAACAGAGGTAGCTCTTATGAAGAAATATGCAGTGGCTGGAAGTGTGGGGTGTGGCATTTTCCTCCCTGTACAGATCTTCAGGGCAGCTCAGCATAGGATACTGGGGATTCACTATGAGTAGAAGCATTCAATTTAAATTCTCTAGAAATATTCCCAGAATGCAGCCCCCTCCATCCAGAGGTCTAAGATGGCATCACGTCACAATGATTTTTTTTATACTACAAGAGAACAGTTCTGATTTATTTTTGTAGTTAAGGAGATTTGCAACAAGAGGAGATGTTATGTCATCCCTCTCCTCATATAGAAAGAGTCTCCTGGTTAGCTGTCCTGTTAACCACTTGAAGTAGTTTGGAGTCCACTCTGAAATAAAACCCTGACCAATACATTTCTCTCAGCTCAAGCAAAACTCTGGAATCAGTTTATCATCTAGGAATCAGCAAACCTGAATATCCAGGAGGAAACTTTTGTTAGAAGGTCCCTGTTCAGCTGCAGATCAAACAAGTTTACATTTCTTTCCCATCCTTTCCACAGAACATAAAAATATAAGCCCGTTAAGAGATTTGCTTATCAGTATAATCAGGCATTGATCCAAATGAACAAGACATACAGGAATGTCTTTTTCTTAATTCCCACATAAGACCTGGGAAAGACTCTCTAGAAGGAATGTTTGTGAGAGTTTTCTGATCAAGCATCTTCTCATATACTGCTATAGTAGCACAGTTTGCAGTCCATATGTTAGTAATGGATCGGGGTCTTCAGACTTTCTGATAATTTGTCTGAACAATCTATTAGCTTCTTGCTAGTGGTGTGCCTGTGGTGTTACCAACTATTAAAATTATCATTGCTTGGTTTTTTTCCCCTTAGAGTTAATTTCACTTAAAAGTCTTTTCTTCAACTATGCACTACAAAGACCTGTTTTCACAGGTTGCTCACCTGCTTTCCTACCTTCCTATTTAACAGCACAATGTGCTGTTCTCCTCACTTCATGGCTCCTTCTTCAGTCTCCTGGTATTGAAACAAATGTCCTGTCTGCTTACATTTTTTATTTTAATTGTTATATCAGTCTTCACCTTGAGAACAGTCCAGAGAGAAGGCTTTTCTTTCTTGAACCCAATGAACAAAATATCACCAATCAGGTTGCTTTTAGAGACTTCCTGCCATAATCTTTCTTAAACTTTGTAACAAAAAGCTTTTTGAACTTCAACAACTGATATTTTGCAACTGAATTTTTAACAGTCTGTACTGCAGCCAGTGTTGAAGCACTTTGCACAGTAGATCAATATTTCCAGATAAAAGTCAAAACTGAAATCTAACTACTTCTGTCTTCTTTCAATAACCTGGTAATGCCTTTTATTAGACCTACTTCTGTTGGGGGGAAAAAGACAGACTTCTCTAATGAAAGATAATACCTTACCCACTTTGTGTCTCATGTCTTGGGACCAACATTAACATTAGCAAAGTGTAGATAAATTGATGGATTAGTTCTGTGCATTAAATGTATTAATAGTTGTGAGCAATAGTTCAACTGAATTTAAAATAACTGTAAAACGTAAAATAAATGTTAAACACAAATAAAACATCAAAATTAGAAAAGACACTGGCAGTGTTTTAAAATGAGATTGGATGACTTTTCCAAAATATATGCTGTAGGAATTTATTTGGGAATTGGGAGGTTGTGGCTTATGTTACACAAGAGGTCAGACTAGGCAATCACAGTGGTCTGTTCTGGCTTTTGAATCTATGAATGGTGTCGCTGTTCCTTACTTTGTCACTGGAACACTTACAATATCTGGATGGATGTTAACCTTTCAGAAACTGGCTTCTTCCAGTTGTCTCACTTTTGTGACTAGATGAAATATAAGGCATATAGTTCTGACAACTTTGCTGCATTACATGATATTAGAACACTAAGTATACAAAAAAATTCCCGTTTTGAAGGAATTTTTTCTGGTCAAGCACTACATGTACTAGGTGAGCATGATACATTCAATATTTGTTAAAATGTATTTGAATATGAAATAATATAATATTATCCAGGGCCTAATGTTGTCTTCCCCAGTTGCAACAGCAGGACTGGCTTCACATTAGTTAACTTGCTTGGTTAGCTAATTTTAAATATAGTTAATTTCTCCCCAGCTCACAAATTGATCTGAGACCATCTCAGAGCTCTCTTCCCATTGGGTCTGCTATCTCTTTCATCTTTAAGCTCTGAAATTAACTGTGAATATGGGAATAAATACTTAAATGATTAGCAAATTGGCTTTCGTGGAAGTAAGAGGATGCCAAAGAGTTAATATTTCTTTGGCAAAATTGTAATATTTAACCCTAATGTTGATAGGAAAAAAAATTAGTTAGATAAACATCACTGCAAAGATACTATATTTCTCCTTATTGGGAAATGTTTGGAAATGCAGCTGGCATGATTGCAATATAGAAAAGTCCCTTCTTCCCAGCTGAGAACTTTTATTCTCCTAAAGAAGTGGAGAATAGTATTTTTATTAGATCTGGAGACTCACTGCAGTTGGTGACACATGAATTTCAGAACTATAGATAGCAGGATAGACAGAATGACTGACTGCTTGGCAGAAGCAGCTGCTTTTGCTGCCTGTACAGAGGTGTAAGTATAAGGCTACATCATAACTTTCAGACCAGGTAAATGTTAATACCACTTTGTCAGGTTACAGTTTGATGCTCATATGTCTGTCATGTGCTATCACCACTGCCAAGACACTTGTGTAAGAGCAAAGGAGAGGGATATTTTAGAGAGGCATATCATAATGCCTTTTTTAATTATAGTAGCACTGCATACTAGATGAAGATTTTTACACCATGATTTTAGCCGGTAAGTGTCAGTACTTTGGATAGTCTCCGGCAATTTTTGCACCTCCAATTTTTATTCCATGTTGTGATAGTGACAAGAGTCTCATTTACCATTTTGTACCTTCTTCCACTCCTGTGTGAGAGATTCCTTAGGATTGTGGCTAAATGTTAGCGGAACTTTTTTATTCTGCAGTGGTGGGATGTTAAAATAAGCTTACTAAAATCATGATAAAACCACACCCTTTTCAAAAGTGTTATTTCCCTTTATGAATAAGGATATCATTTGTTATTGTAATTTTATTTGATTGCTCGTCTACAGTAGAAATGAACAGATAATAGATTTCACATCTTAGCTGTAATCTTCCTACCCTTTTTCTCTGATCAAGAAATAGGTCTGATTTCTAAAAGATTAAAGGAATGCTTCTCTTACTTAAGCTAAACATTTCTTTACTGTAATTTATGGAAATGTTGACCTTTTAAAAAAATAACCAACCAAAGATAAATTCTGCTCTGTTACCCATGTAAATCTAGTGAAAGTAATTGGGTTGTATTTGTGTAACTGAGAATGCTATCTGGCCTATAGCTTGTAATTTGAGAAAGGAAATGTGATTTGTACATTGATTTATAGGGAATCAGCATGTAGTTCAAAACTGTCCACTCATTTTTGGTACTTTTTTGAGGATCTCTGAACTATTGCAGAACACCTCTGGATGCAATGGAAATAGCATAACTGCACAGGCCTGCCTGAGGGCTTGAACTTTTCTCAGAACCTGTATGAGTGGGCAAAATTTGGTTCATTCTTGCCATGAACGCTCTCACTCTATATACAAGATCACTTTCAGGATTAAACTATGGCTTGATCTTGTTAGCTGTCTATCGAATAGAATAAGGAAGGTCAAAGGTGTTTAAAGACGCTTCCCAGAGAGTTATTAAATAACCCAAACTCATCCGCTTAGGGGTGGTACTCTTATTCCATATCTGATCACCGGCAGAGTGTCAATGCTTAGATTGAGATGGCGCGTGAAATAAAATTTAAGACTTGGGTTTTCAGTGACAACCACAAGACTATATTAAGCAAATTAAATTTAACAAACAGTATAATTTGTAAAAATGATATACCTCTAGTTAACAAATAAGGGGGCAGTCCCCTATTACATTACACGGACAAGAAGGGGAAGTCCCTCCAGGTCCCTATTCCTACTTACAGAGTCTACGGCGATGGGAGGGCGATTGAGGTGGTGCTGGCGACCTTCAATCCCTTGGCTATTTGAAAGCCTCAGGAGAGGAACGACCAGGCATCCCTTGCCGGCTGTCTCAGGGTCAAAGCTGGCGACCTCAATCCGTTGGTCCTTCCGGACCTCAAGAGAGGAACAGCCAGGAGTCCCACGAAGAACTGGGTAGAATTGCGGATTTCACCTTCCGTGAAGAGCGATTCTTCAGGCTCTTCGGCGCCTCTGGAACCGGCGATGGAAGCTAGACTCCGTCTCTACCTATTCTAACCTTAACCTAAAATAAAACCCTATTCTAAAACGTGACGCGCCCGACGTATGGACTCGACGACGGCCGAAATGCTTTGACCCGACGCAGCCTGACGAACAAACACGACGACGTGAACTAACCTACCTAATTACTAAACTAACTAGCCTAACCTAAAAGAGAGAAGAGAACCTTCCGTCCAATTCTCTAAAGACAAGACCTTTACAGGACCTTTTTCATACTCATTCACTCCTAACCTAAGCCTAATCCCGACGCGAATGACGCCCTGACCTCAGGATAAGCCCGAGGACCAGAACGAACCATCGTTCGGTCAGACCTTGAATATGCATAGACTGCAATGATTTAAACCGATTGGCTGCCAAAAGATGCACCTTGAGCGTGGTACAAACTGATAGGTTGGTTCGGAATGCTCATGCATATTCATAATCTATGCAAATCATACCCACCAGGTGAGCGAGTTTTTAAAATCTAACAGTCACCTGTGGACGTGTCAGAATGCAGATCATAAATGGATGTCATTAGAGAGAATGTTTAAATACAAAATGGAGTTTTAGGCTCCATTTTGTAAGCTTGCAAAATTTCCGCATCTTTAAGTTTACAGGTACAAAAAAACCAAATTAACCTTGACATTTTAAAAGATTATCAGCCCCAAACACTACATAGAGGTTTCCAAGGTCCAATTCATATCATCCAGATATTATACATTTGCATTTCTGCCTTACAATCTCTTCTTTTCATCAGGGTATGCACAATTATTTGGATGCCACATTACCAACATTGATTTGCATATTCTTTTATCTAAATTATGTGTATTTCTGTGTTTGAGGAAAGCTAGACAAGTAACAGTACTGAGCAACATCACATTGCTACTTTATATGGTAGGATGGCTTACAGGTACCTTATTTTACACCTTTTTATCTTGTGCTTACTAGGTGTAGTAATTGTTCTTTACAACTGTAGTTTAATTTAATTGGTGTTGAGATTATGCTAGTGGCTTGATGGGAAGTTAAATTGTCTGTTCCTCTGCTTAGGTACTTTCATAATTCTCATCTCTGTAGTGTTTGAGAGTTTCATGGGCATAAATGAATTTACCCTGTCAGTATATCTGGGAGGTAGGAAAGTTGTACCTCCCAGTGTACTAATAAGGACTGAGGTATAGCAAGGCGGAAGGATTTACCAAAGCCTGATGGATCTAACCCACATCCCAAGTCCCAGCCCAGTAATGTAACCAAACACCATCCTTCTCTTTTTATAATAAAATGTTATTATTTATGTTAATAAAATCCAAAGGCCTTTCCCAGAGGCCTAGATCTGATGCTGTTGTAATACATTTAACTGGATTAAACTAAATTTAAATTTTGAAATTAATTGCATGGAAACCTAACACCTTCTTGGAAGAATATCAGTAACTTACAGCATTTGGAAAGGGACTGATCAGAAAGGATTGAAAGAAGTTCCCACACACTCCTTCAGCACTCTGCAAAGAGAGTTTAGCCTACATTTGATCACAAAAGTACATCTACACAGCAAGAACAGCCGGTGGCCAGATCTGCAGACCACGGCTCATCCTACAGTGGTAAAAATAGCCATTTTGGTTTGTGTTCTTGGGCTGGAGCTCAGGCTCTGAAGCTTAGGGATTGGGTGCATTGGATGTCTGCTTGTGGTCAGACCCTGATCAAAGTTGATGAGTTTTGTGCAAGTTCATTGTTCTTCCTCCATTGAGCCATGTACAGTAATGGGATCTAAAGTCAGACCTCCACAGAAGCGTTATTTAGTGCACGTTTACACTATAAGCCTTTATTTCAAAATAATGTCAAGCTGGAGGACTCCTTACTCTGACTCCTGGAACCCTCATTTCATGAGGAATAAGGGAAGCTGAAGGAAGAGGGTTCTTCCTTTGACTTCCTGCTGTATAGACAGCACCAAAAGCCAAGTTAAGATATTTAGACTTAAGCAATGCAATTGACGTAGCTGAAGTTGCGTAGCTTAATTCGACTTGAGCCCTGCTGTGTAGACATGCCCTTATAGAGTTCAGTGCTTCCCAGATATAACTGCAACCTGACTGATTTTGATAGATAAGGCCACCGATGATTGATTATTGTTGAATCTATCCATAGCAACAAAGCATTGTGCTATGTCAGGATATTTAGGGAGCAGTGGTCTGACAGCAGCAACCTGTAACATTAATTCTGAAAGACATCTTAGGTTTTACTTTGTTTATCAACTACATAGCCATAAGCAATTCATATTACAATAGTAGGAAAAAGTATGGGTGATGCCATTCTAAAAGTATTTTAGCTGCATCTTAAAGTATATATCTGGATTGATTATTAGGAGAGCGTCTTCAATAACTGGAATTTAAATACTGGTGCTGCTTCATTGTAATAATTTCCCAATACGCACATTAATAAATAGAGAGTTTAATAGACTTCAATAATCTGTAGTTTAAAGACCCTATACACAAAGGAATTATGTATAAAACATCCATTATGGTAAATTGCTACCTTTTTAAACTAGAAATCTGTGGAAACAAAACCATTGCAATGCACATAGCAACATGTTGCATGGTGTTAACAAACTGAATAATTAATGCTACTTTCTGTTTATTTCACCTATTCTGACAAAAGTTGCAGCTATATACTGTAGTTATTTTTGCACAAAGATTAATTGTAATGTTGAGAAACTGTAAATTACATCTCTTTGTTTGAAAACTTCTCTAACTAGTGCTCAGCTGCTGCTCCCTCAAATTTAATAGATTGAAAAAACTAATTTTGCTTCTAGTGATACGCCCACCCAGTGTCTAAGCCAGAAGTGCCATTTAAGAAAAGTAGAAAAACCTAATTAAAAAGAAGACTTAGTAAGCAACTCTGTAAGCAAGTTTTGCATTGGATTTCAATTTGATTTCACTGTGCTTGCTGCTGAGAGCCCTGCTGGAGTGTGAGATTGAGAAATAAGAAGCAGATGCTTTTGGTAGAACAGTAGGGCATTTATCTCTTTTAATGAGATAACATCATTAGTGCTGACAAAGTGCTGCAAATCAATACATGTAATGGACTGCTGCTATCTTTCAAGAGTACCCAGATTGTCGTACTTCAGAACATTAGAATCTGCTGAATCACAGGTTCAAGCTTTATCTGTAATTTCAGTCCTTGGCTTTAATCTCACAAAAATAGGAACATACCTCAGAGATACAGGCAGGAGAGGCAGAAATGGGGATCGATTCTATGTATCTGAAAATATGGAGATGCTTAGAAGTAGCACAAAGCTTTGTGGTGCAAAAACCTTATTTTAATTGGTACGTGGGAGTTTTTACTCAGTTTGTTGATACATATTTTAGCCTGACTCCTTCATAAAATGGCTGCAATCTTTTTTTTTCTGCCCTCTGCCTGCTTCCGTAGAACACTGGTGTAATGTCAGCAACACAATCATGTCAGACTGTGACACTGATGACCCTGACATTCAGCAACAAAGAGCTGTAGAAGAAAGGAGAGTGAGGTGGCTGGTATAAGGGGTGAAGAAAAGCAGCAGGAGGGGAAAAAATCTGTGGGTCAAAGCATTTTTAATTAAAAAATCTATAGGTGTAGAATCATATATATTTCATATAGCAGTGTATGCAAAGTGAACTGATACACACTGAAAAGAGAATGGACTTTTTTTTATTCCTCCCCTTTCAAATGGTAAATAGTAGGCTTATAGCATTGATGGTATAAAAATAATTATGTAGTCTTTTCTGAAAGCTTAATACAAATCTCAGAATGGTGATGAGTATGGTATAAAAATCTATATAGAAAAGAACAGTTAAAACCCCTTAACTTCTCCTTCCACAAAATCATGGAAATTCTCACTAAAAAAGTAAAATCTAAATGTGAGGTATATTCACTTGTCAGAGAGTGCTGTTGTCACATTTGAACATCACTTTCATTCCAGGAAAGAAATTGCCTTTAAACATCTTAAACTGAATTGGTCATATAAAATCCTCTATGTATTTTTTTTCCCATCCATCCTAGGCCCTTTGTACCCTGGACTTCCCAGCACCTGTTTGTGGTGACAAGATATAAACAGTGTTGCAAGATGCCTCAGTGTTAACTATTGCTTGACAATTTAACTAATTAATTCAAGGTCATGCAGTTTCTCCTCCCTTCCCCTCTTTGGTAGTATTCACATTTTGGTTTTTTTTTCTTTGAGTGACCTCCTGGATTTGCTGTGTCACAACCTGGAAACTTAACATTTGCTGTATTTCAGATGTTTTGAATTCAGATTCTCTCCTTTCAGACTGAGTTTCCAGCTCAGATTAATCATCCAAGCCGTTCTTCAACACATGGTCTTTATTGCAGGCTCAGCTGTTTTAGCTAGCCTATTGTACCATTCCCATCATGCTTTCTCTGCAGTTCCTCAGTTAGAATTCTGTTACTCTAACACAGGGTGGTCAAGAGGCTGACTGCATGCCAAGTCAAGATTGCTAGACACCTTGAAATGGACCACAAAAGTTGTATTTACTTATTATCATTACTGTTATTGAAGTTTGGAAAAATATTTCTCTGCAATCTAAACACTGACCAATTTGGATCTTGACAAAAAGCAATTTACTACCCCTGCTCTAAGATATCCCGTGTTCCCTCCCACAAAGGATGGAAATTGGAGCGGGGATTAGGGAATAGATTTTTTTTTTAACCTTGTATAATAAGACCCCATGGTATGACTACCTAGTTTTTGTTTTCTGAGCATAGTGTCAATATTTATATAGTTTTGAAGTTGCATCTGAGCTTTGGTATCTTGCTGCTTCATTGGAAGTGTTAGAACAAAATGCAAGATCTACAGTGGCTTGTTCCTACTGGGAGATGCAGTTGGAGTATACATGGGTTAGCAGACTTAGGGATGGTCCTTCAAATGCTACTGATTTTAGAGCTAGGCAAAGTGTTATTCACTAGACCAGTATTTCTGAAAGAGTTCCATGGAATCACTCTCAGAAACACATTAACTGGCCGCCCCAGTTTGTTTGTTTACCCGTGCCACGGCCATGGAGCCTCGTGGCTCCCATTGGCTCTGTTTTGTCCTTTTCTTTCCACAAGCTTCATACAACACATGACAATCAATTGTTCACAGCATGAAACATTGTCTTGTGGGATGTGTTCAAGTGATGTATTTTTGTCTGGCATGCATCAAGGAAATGGGGAGTAACAGGAGAAAAGATTACATAACCCTTCTCCTATCCTTACTTCACATGGCTAAACTCTTGCATTTAATTAAAAAAAAATCAGTCTCTTATCACGAGAGTCGTCATTTCTGAAATTGAACCTTAGGTTTTTCGTAAGCGACTGAAAGTGTCATTTCTCTGTCAATTCGTCTTCAGTTAAGTCATATTCCCACAGAGAAACTAAACTTATTTGGCTGTATCTGTTGGGGAATTTGACTCTTCAGACTACAGACCTCCCCTGTTCCAGAGTAGGTTTGTTGGTTCCCCAGTCTGCAGCAGTGACAGTCACAAAGATGGGATTTTTTTTTATTTTGTATTGTATAGTAATCCTTTTAAGCAGCTTTAGGAAATAGTAACTGTTGCTGAGACATACAAATGGCATAATTGTGCCAGGTAAAGGAGCCATATAAGAGAGTCATGGCCATGGTGCCCGCTGTTCTTCTTTTTTCCTGCTTCCCTTCTCTCAGCTGTCTCCAGGCCACCTCTCTCCTCTATCTTGTTTTTTCTCTTCTGTCATGCTTTAGCTGTTCTGTTTCAGTGCAAGGTAACAGCAGCAAACAGTGCCATTGCCTTGCATATATTGAAAAGGCCAGCAAGGGAGAGGAGCAGGAAACTGTGGCAGCTGTTGCTTATGTATCAGCCCTGGGAGGCTGGGGGGAGCAGCGAAGCTGCCACGTCAGTCCGTACGTTCCTCCTCCTTCAGATTGAACCACAAGGCTTGGAGAGTGAGGCGTGAAGAGAAGTAATCTCAGGTAACAGCGATGGGGAGTTCTTAATTCAAGAGCGTCCCTACTGTTCTAAAGATCACCAGAAAAGCTGCTGCCTCGTGTTGTAGAACTTTTAAATCCAAAGAGGCGAAAGGAGACTTTGAGAATATTGGGAGATGCAGTTAGTGGCAAAGGTAAGGGGAATGCAAGAGTGAGAGAAGCCTGGTACTTTTCTTAGTGTGCTTTTGGTACATGGTTGTAAGTCAGGAGATGTGGATTCTACTCCCAATTCCACAAGAGGGTTCTGGTGTACCTTTGCCCAAGCTGGTTAATTTTTGTTCCATTTCCCCTATTCCAAAGTTAGGAATAATACTTAATAAGCCATTAACATTTGTGCAGTGCTTTGAGATTCTTTATGGAAAGCATCATAAAAGTGAAATGTATTGGTATCTCTGAAATATCTTTTAAATTAAACATCCTGGTGCTTCACTAGCTACATTATTTACAAGATTCTTTTGCCTGGATTTTTAGCTTCTCAATGAGATACTTCCTGCTGGTTCACAGTATTGGGCTTTATCTTACCATCTTGTGAAATCATTTCCTAATTCCACATGTGTCCAGGTAGGGCAGCCCTTCATAAGCTTGTTAATGATATATTTCTCTTCATTATCCACAGAAAGTGAATAGTTCGTTCATAAGATCTTCAGAGGGGTAGCTGAGTTAATCTGTAACAGGAAAAACATAAACAACAAATAGTCTAATAGCATCTCAAATACTAAATAGTTACAAGAGGCTGATAAGATCCATTAGTTCGCACTTGGAAGGGAGGATGACCAACACCAGATTCCATACAGACATCAAGAACCATTAGTACCTTAGTTGGTTGGTTGGTTGATAATGTGAAGTAAAGCTCCAGTCCTTCTCTGTGTATTT